CCCGCCGCCCGCCCACGGCTGTCTTTCATTACTTGCGTTTGAGGCGTGGTTAAGCGCTTTATTGTCGTACACAGAAAATTAGTTCGATTCCCTTGTCGGAGGGTTTCTTTTTAGGGTATCTCCTTCTGTCTCCTGGGTCGTAATGCCACGCTGAGACCTGGTTTGGTCGTGCTTGATCCTAGCTCGGTTTTACTTAATTCTAGCTTGGCTCTGCTTGATTCTAGGATGGCTTTGCTTTTGGCTCTGCTTGGTCCTCGCATGGCTTTGCTTAGTCCTAGCTTGGCTATGCTTGCCAGGGTTGAAACAGCCTATCTCCTAGGTATATAAATTGTGTCTACGTAGACGTAAGTCATCTATAACTAGAACTGTCTCTGGTCTTGTCTTTCAAATTGCTCTTTGTTGTTCGCACGCAAATCAAAATTTTCGATGCAAATAGCAATCAGCTATGTTTTATTAAACAGAATTAAAAAGAAAAGAAACTGACATTAGTTTTCTTGCATACTTTCTGTAGGTGATCAAAGAAGCTCTGGACGCGTATGTTATTGAACCTCGATCCCAATGGGTGACGGCGTGGCCAGGGCAGGCCGTTCTGTGTGTGGGTCAGGCATACTGGACAACGTACGTCACAGAGGCCATCACCAACGGTTCACGGGCAATGGAGCAGTACCTCAAGGTAGAAGACATGCTTTTTTGTTGTTCTGTTTTCTGTTTTATGAAACAAAAGGCTACATTTTAAAGATTGTAGATCTTTACTATCTATTTTTTTCAGACAATAACTTTTCATTAAAAAGAAAAGAAAACGAAGGCAATGCTTACTTGATACAGATTGAAAAGTAGTTAGCATAGTATGTTGTTGACACCTTTGAGACGATTCAAGAGAATTTTGACTATTTTTTAGATGTTGATTGTACTTCACAAGAAAGATTTTGGTATGGGGAAAAACACAAATTAAGCACTAAATTATGTATAGTCATTTGTTTAACGCATTACAACTGCAGATTATATGTCACATATTGAAAGATGTTGGGTTTTTGATTTTGCATAACAATATGTAATGAGAGCGTTCTTGTGGAAAGCAACCAGTTTTTACTGCGTGCAGCGTAAGAGCAACGTGTGTAATCATCGTATATGTATGTATGGTGTCCTTTTTGCGTTACATGATGGCTTCCCTTCATTTTTCCCCATAATGCCCGTTCCTTTTCCGGGGTCCTTCTCCTTAGTAAAGGAAAAAATGGGAGGGGAAGGGCAAGAATGTTAATAAACGTAAAAGGTTTTCATTTGGCAAATCTCTTAGTTTTTCCAGCTCTAGCACTTAGCTCTTCCTTTATTCTATTTTTTCACATCGACATAATATCTTCACCCCACACTCACATTTCAGCTGAACAACAAACAAATCGACGACATCGTTGTGCTGGTCCGAGGCAAACTATCCAAACAAAACCGAGTCACCCTGCAGGCTCTGATCGTCCTGGACGTTCACGCGCGTGACGTGCTGGCCAACATAGTGGAGGAAGAGCTCACCAGTCCTCTAGACTTCAAGTGGCTGAGTCAGCTACGTTACTACTGGGAGGTAAGACAAGGGAATCGAACAAGCGCCTTTTTATTCAGTGTCACGGCGGAGAGCCTAAAATTATATTTCAGACTTTGGACTTTGGCGACTGCAACTCTGATTTGAAACTGTAATTTCCGTTTGAACCATTCCTCGTAGGGGATAAGCCCTGGAAATTGTCTAAAGGATACTACACTGTGCTTAAAAAATGCACTGTTGGGGATTCGAATCAGAGACACACACACCATTTTCTAGCATGACACCAGCTTAAGTAACGGCAAGCGCCCTTTTGTTGTGTAACAGGGAATATGTAGAGTATAAGGAGGATACCAATAGCGTGCCGTTTTGTTTTCTCATTCGTCTGTCATGTCTTCCTGTTGTTTAGACCCCCCACCCCCACCCCACCCCCTATTTTCCGCTCTCCCTACCCTGAGTGGATCGCTCTCATCTTCCCACTTCTTGTCAGTATTCAGTATTTTACATTGTGTGTGTTGACGGCTTGGTGGCCTTCTATCTGACCGACGCAAGCACTGGTAACCGCCAAAACTGTGTAAACGTCACTTCTCTCCACAAACTGTTGGGGGTTTTTTTCAGGATGAAAACATGGTTACTCGCATGATTAATTCTCAACTGAACTACGGTTACGAATACCTGGGCAACAGTGGTCGCCTGGTCATCACACCTCTCACAGACAGGTGTTACAGGTAATTCTGTGGGGCATCGTTAGAGGGGGTCAGAGACCGCATAATCTTTGGGGCGAGGTTACACTGCAGGCACTGCGACAGAATCTGCGCTTTAAACAGAAAAAACATACCCACGAAAAAAGCTGCACGAAGACAGCCTTGAGACCATCGTAAGCTAAATTGACCGTCTGCATAGACGAAAACATTTATCCTATACACTGGAGGGAATCATAGAGCACGTCTTCTTTGCCGTCTTTAACTGTTTTGGTCTCGTTGCAAAAAAAAAGAAATTCAATCACAACAAAAATACTGTTAAAGATATCACCACAAATTTAACTTTTGGTGAGTATATCTCTTATTTCATTTACTTCTGTATTTTGCTTGGCTTGTCCCCCTCCAGTTTGATATTTGCTCTGAGCACAAACTTTTAACTTTTAAGCTTGAGTTCCCGAAAACAAACTTTCTTGACGGCAGAGAGGTCGCCCTAGGTACTGGGAATGGATAAAATGGGTGACATTTTAGCTATAAGATTAGCATTGAAATCCTCCATAATATATTGTGTAAACATTTCTCATAAGGCTCTTGGATCCCTACTGGGGACGATTTGAAGTCTTAAGATGTTCAGAAAGATTTAAAAAGATATTAATCCTTTTTGTCTTTCTCACTTAATCGAGCTCTTTTCAATCTAGATTCTTATACCAAATTTTACCCCCCCCCCACACACCCCACCCCTCCTCACTCCTTCTCTTTCTGCCCACAAGAACTCTGTTCGGAGCTCTTCACCTTCACCTCGGAGGTGCCCCGGAAGGTCCGGCTGGGACAGGGAAAACAGAGACCACCAAAGACTTGGCAAAGGCCGTGGCCAAACAGTGCGTGGTCTTCAACTGCTCAGACGGGCTCGACTACATCGCACTCGGCAAATTTTTCAAGGTGGAGGAGGGGGGGGGGCAGCCCTTTCAGATACGGTGGGACTGACGGGTCGAAATTGGTTTTTAGCTCGCAAGTAGTTTTGCTTCGTTGGTACATTATTGTACCATGCTGGTCTGGGACAAGAGCGAAGAGAACGACGACACTGTTCGAGTCTATGAAGAAGTGTTTTTCTCATCTTTTTTTAAGAAGCTTTATAGATTTTGAGGGTGTTTTCATGTCTTTCTCGCTTACGCGGTGACGTCCTGTCGCAGGCAAATGTATTAATGTAGGCAATATCAAGAGATATCTGTGTAGAGCTAAAAGGGGGATGTTAAAAGCGCACAGCACCTTGCCACTGCATATTTTGCTTTGTCGGTGTTTTACGCACCAATTTATTAATTATTTCCGTATGAATTAGGAGGCAGGCTGCTTAGGCACTGCTTGCTAGGGCCAACCCGAGCTGAAAGGGATACATCATACCGGTAGACAGACAAAGATACCCAATTACCCCCCCCCTGCCCCCCCCCCAAACACACACACAATCGAACTTATGTCCTCAGTGTGCGATGGCGAAACATCGAACCACCAGCACCATATGTTTTTTGTGTAACCAGTTAATTACACAACCATAGAAAACACAACACCATACTTTGACTGAAATATCATCCATTCTATTTTCAACTGTAAAATTATCATTGGGTCTTTCCACTGCAGTCCTTTACCTTTGCCAAAGAGACGAAAACCATCTTTTTTTACAGAGATGTCATGGAAAGTGATGTTTTATAACTTGTGCATGATACCCATCCTTTCAGGGCACATGAAAGTAACAAAATCACATTCTTCATACCTCATTCTTGCATACATGGACATTCCTTCCAAGGCCATGCATTTTCTGATTGCTGAGGGCCGTATCTATCTGGTTCTTTTAAATTTTAAAAATTTCACAACTTATTGCTTTGAAATTTATCAGTACTATGTGACAACTTTCAGATATTACGCTCTCTTTGAACTCCAACAAACTCACTTAAATCACGGTCGAGCAGAAAACCAAAAATAAAGAAAGTTGAAGTATTGAGATCGACACTAGCTTGTTCATTTAGTATGAGGAAGAAAAAATCTCGGAAGTCCTCTGTGCAAACAAGTTGTGCACGTTAAAGATACCTCGGTGGTCCTAAAATCGATAAGAGTAGGCGTCAGTCGCCACTTGGGCGGCCATTCAAAATTAATTCCTACCAAACTGGAAATGCTCAACGTGTCCTGCGCATTCATATGACCTCAATGCTGTTGCCAGCGCCGTAAAACACTTACCAAAAAGAAATCCTTCTGTCTCCTCAGGGTTTGGCTTCGTGCGGGGCCTGGTCATGTTTTGACGAGTTTAATCGGATTGACTTGGAGGTGTTGTCTGTTGTGGCCCAGCAGATCCTCACCATTCAGAGAGGTGAAACAAAATATGCAATTGTAGATTTTTTTTCACGTAGCTCCCATTGATATAGTTAGATAATTTAGGAGATGGGCTGCAGAAAAACCGAGATAGTCGATGAAAATTCTCTCCACGTGGGAATCGAGCTCACCTTTATCTGCGGACGACGGCGAAACACATAAACGCTACCTAAAGATGCCGGTTCAGAGATATGAGCATGCAAGCACTTTTTTACTTTTTGTGGAACCATTTCCAAAGGCTATGTTTTGATTTCAAGTATCCTTGCCGTCATCTTTTTATAGATGATTGCCATGCACAATGAAATCGGCAAAGTACGAAAAGATAGAAAATGAGCAGATAAGCCTGACAGGTATTCTTCTTGAGCTATTTGCGAAGCCTTTTGTTGCTTGTACATGTAGAAGACCGACAAGTTAATAATAGACAGATTGAGTAGATAAACACATTCTCAGATAAAGCAGTCGGACACTTCCCTGGAACGTTTGTCTTGAGCTGAACCCTTGTCGAGTTTCACCATGACAACAATTTTAAATGCTTTAAATTCGGTCAACACAACAGAGACAATTTAGGAGACGGGCTGCTTCAACGCTGCCTTTCAGACACAGCATACCAGTATTCAGAAGGAAGTGCCAGACAGAAATAACCTCTCGATTCAGGACTCGAACTAGCGGCTTCTGCATCCAAAACACCACAGATAATCATCTTCCTTAACTTATAGCTGAGTGGTGGAAATTTTCACGTGTCAGCGAAATAAAGTATGTTGACGTCATGAACCGTAATACGTTTATTTAACTCTAAAACAGCGCAACATACACTTATCCAATCAGCAGCCGACTAAAGCTGCACATTTCGACTGATCATAATATACAAAGAATGGATTGGTGTACATGTATTTTATAGTATGTACGTCGTTGTCTGCTTTTTTAAGTTTCAGATACGGAAAAAAAATAATAGCATAATCTGTATGAACCACGAAGACGCGCTTCGTCTTGCTAAAGTGCTCCAAAGCAGCACGTCACCAAACGTTGTCGAATGGCCAGAATGCGCTTCCTCAATGAGTTAATCTCACCAGGTATCAACTCTGGCGCCGACACTCTTCTGTTCGAGGGCACGGAGATCAAGCTGGACCCGACCTGCTCTGTCTTCATCACCATGAACCCTGGCTACGCCGGCCGCTCCGAGCTGCCTGATAACTTAAAGGTCAGGGGGGGGGGGAGATGAGGGGCAAAAGGGCTGGATATTAATTATTGGGGTTGCTACACTCTGAAAGGGACTTACTTAAGAGTTTGGACACACTAGGGTAGGTGTGTCTTCGAGGGTGTAAATGTTCTGTCCTTGTGAAAATCAAGTGCAAGCTTTCTTGTGTATATTTGCGTTTGTTAGCACATTGACATAGGTCCCGAATTACGCATTCATTGTTCTCGGGGTGCAAAGAAAAATGCCACGAGTTAAACTGAATAAAATTGCACAACTGAATCCAGTCTGGTTTCTAAACGTAGGTTACGAATATCGTCAAGCTATGGGTTGTCTCATTTTCCAGTTAACTGTCTTCATTGGCATAGAAAAAGAAAAAGAATAAGAGTACATTGATTTATACTTAGAGGCCACTTCTAGGTGCTATTGATATGTCTTACTTCTTTATCTGAAGACTTTTCAAGTGCCTATTGTCTTACTCTTTTATCTACTCCATACCGAAGTAACTTCATATCTTTCGATCTGCTTGTCAATAGTTAGAACAAATATTTGCTTTTTAAATTGCTACTGAAACGTGTGCGGTCATCTCTTCACAAAAGAGAGTGTAAATGGACAAATTTACCCCCCACCCCCACACCCCCCTTTCCTACTTTTACCAGGCTTTGTTCCGAACAGTGGCCATGATGGTACCCGACTATGCCCTCATCGCTGAGATCTCGCTCTACTCGTGCGGTTTCGTCATCGCTCGGCCGCTCTCGATAAAGATCGTGGCTGTCTATCGACTGTGCTCGGAGCAGCTCTCCTCTCAATGCCACTACGATTATGGCATGCGAGCCGTGAAGTCAGTTCTCACTGCTGCAGGGAACCTCAAGGTTAAAGAAGCAAAAACAATATAACAAAACTAAACGTTCTACTTTAGTGTGAAATCTTTAGGTTGTGCCATTGTTTCATGGGGGAGTTGTGGGGGAGTCAATGTGCTGGCTTCTTTATTTGTTTGTTTAGGACCCTCGGAACGTCGGCAAAATTGCTACTAAAGTTTCCTTAGTTACTCTAAAAGTCCCAATTATTCTATTTTGAAAAAAAAAAAAAACACCCCACAAGTTTGTCCACACAGTTACCTTGTTTAGTCGTATTTGAAGTAGCTGGTGTAGTCAATTTCTACTGCTTCTTGAAAAAGAAAAAAATTAATCTTTTTTTAGGCTGCAGGGAGGGGGGGAGGGCAGTTGTAATGCTGCAAGATTATTTCCCCCTACTCGTGGGGGCACTTTTTAATTAATCGAAACCATTCCGCTTTTCTCAGGAGCAAACCCAGATTAGCTGGGACCCTTATGAAAACTGAAGCCTCTATCAATAGTATTATAAATTATTGTTCACACGCCATGTTAAAAAGATTGAATCGCGTGTAACAATTCACGGATCTTTCTCCTTTTGAAACATTTTAGAGCTTATGCGACGTCTGTTTCGTCCCTGTGGACTTAGTGGCGAGGTGGTATAGCTCTTTGTCACTGAAAACAGAAGACGTGAGCGCGTCTGTCTTTCAGCTAGGTTTGCTGTATCGTGCTCAGCTTTTTTTTTTAGCTCCTTACCGTTGCTCACTTAGGACATGAGTGCGCAGGGAAGTACATTTTGTCTTGTGCTTTCATGGGCACAATTAATGATAATTGCAACTGGCGGGTTGCTTTGAACTTGTCTGTCAGAGCTCACAGTAGCCTACTGTAGCTGAGTACGGTGCAGCACCCGAGCTGAAAGTTGAGAGATGGAAGCACAAGACAAAATGTTGCAATTATCATTAATTGTGCCCATGAAAGCGACAAATACTTACTTTCGTTTAAAATCGTTACATTGTTTTCCAAACAGTTGCGCTATCCAGAGGAAGACGAGAACATCCTCATGCTGCGCTCCATCATTGACGTGAATCTGCCCAAGTTCCTGGCACAGGACCTGCCGCTGTTTGCTGGCATAACCTCTGACCTTTTCCCCGGGGTTCACCTGCCCGAGCCAGACTACAAGATCATGAACGAGAACGTGCAAGCCGCCTGCATTGAATACAATTTTCAGTGTACTCCTTTCTTCCTAACAAAGATACAAGAGGTAGTGCAATTCATAATTATAATACGTGTAATGATATCCTTATAGTGGGGTGGGACCCATTTTGCCTCACCTTCAAGCATGAAAGGTATCATGCAATACCTTAAATTCATTGGCTCTTTTGTGCTTTTCAGCGAATAGAAAGTTAATACTATTGACATAGAATTACAGAAAGAACAAAAGAAAGAAGATGATGCCCTACTTCTTTTGGAAAGTGAGGACAATGAAGGGGGAAACGTTATTGCAGAAAACAATTATTACACGTTTTAAAATAAATTAATTTATCTATTAACGTACTAATTAATCATTTTCTAAAAGATTGGTTAGTTAATTTTTATATATTATTTTTATACACCTGTTACTCCGTTCCTACTGATATTTTAAATATAGTATAAAGATAATATGAAGATAAATTATTTTCTAATATGGTGACGGCCATGTTTAATGGTTGCATATGGAGCAGCAAGAAATATCTACTGTATAGTTCAGTAGGCACTGGCAGCAAGTCAACACCTCAAGTCACAGAACTGCAAAGTGGATGGTTGGTGGGTGCTCTGGTGTAGTTTGCCCCTTCTTTCCTGTCATTTTTTTCCTATAATACACCTATCGTCCTTCTCTGTCCTTCTTCTTTTCTTTGTGTGTTACTCTCAAGAAACACCTATGATATCCGGCACTAATATGACTAAATTATGTTGGAAGTCTCGTAAAACTTTCACAAAAACTTAAACTGAAAATTTTAAAAGAAATCTTAACAGCCCAGGAGACGTTTCTGTCTTGGCAGATCTATGAGATGATGATCGTCCGTCACGGTTTCATGATAGTGGGCGACCCAATCGGAGGGAAAACTTCGGCCTACAGATCCCTCGCCAACGCCCTTGGCAGAATTGAACAACAGGTTGATTATTCTAACTTCAGAACACAGTAGTGGCTCTTCCTGTTGCTGTTGTTGCTGCTGCTGCTGCTGCTGCTGCTGCTGCTGCTGCTGCTGCTGCTGTTGCTGTTGCTGTTGTTGTTGTTGTTGTTGTTGTTGTTGTGTGTGTGTGTGTGTGTGGTAGCCTATCCGTTCGAAATGTTTGGAGCCCCGAAGAGCGTGCTCTTCGCCAGGGCCACCACCTCCCTTGGGTAGTGGGTGAGGCAGTCCAACCTCCCTGAATCCTCCCCCGAAGAGATGCCACCGTTTCTTAATAATTATATACATCAACACATAATTATTGCTGTTGTCGTCGTCGTTAGATCTAGTCTATTCTTGTTTTAGTCATTCATTTTGATGTAGTTTCTTCATTGCTCACTCGTGACACTGTTGTTTTTACTAGTGTTGGTGATTGGAGGGTGGCAAAAGTAAGTAATTCTTTTATTTAATTGTCCCTTTGTTGTTAATTCATATCTTTCTTTTTCCTGATACGAAAAGCCTGATATATATATATATATATATATATATATATATATATATATATATTGTTGATGCATTTCTCTTTTAAATTCAAAACTTCTTGTTGTTAATGATGTCGGCAATGTCGTATTGTTGCTGCTATTTCTGCGGTTGCTGTGTTTGTCGAGGGTATTATATTGAAGGCACAAAAAGAATCAGTTCAGATTTAATTTCTACTCACCAATCGAAATACTAACGGAGGTTTCATATTTCATTTTAATTTAAAAATTTCGTGTGCCATTATAGAGGGTACAAGAATTTAGGAAAAGTGACACAGAGGAGCCGGCTTTCTTTTTTTTTTCTTTCTTTTTTTTGTCCCTTGCCCATTTCTATGATATTGACGCCATCTGATTAGTAAAAAATGTGCGTATGATAGTGTCCAATAGTGTATTACGTACATAATTGTTATAACAAGTAACTGTTACATATAGATGTTCAAGATCTTAGAGCAATGATGATTTTAGAAATGACGGTAGTGGTGGTGATATGTGATGATGTGGGATGGAGCTACTGTATATAATTATTAAGAAGACATGCGTCTGTTACTAGAGGTGTTTTTTAATGTTATCATTAATCCTATCTTCCTCTGCTCCGATAAGTCACGAGGGATGTAGGCACCCGGTATCCCGTTTCTTACTGGAACTACCTTTAATGTCACCATGAAGTTCCGAAATGGTGGGCACAGTCTCTGTAAAGTGACCTTGTTAGTATTAACTCATTCCAGCGCGCCAGGACAAGTGAAGAGAGGACCTTAGTAGGTAGACACAGTGCAGTGGCAGATGTTGGGAATTTCGCAAGGGGGCTGTAGGTAGCAAGTTGACAACCAGGTTATAGTCTTAATGATATACAGTAGTCATATTCTACTTCCTAGTTATTCTTTTGGAGTCTTATTTAAACAAGAAGTTGCGGAGATTCCGACACAGGGTCCTCGAACCCGAGTCGAGAGCTGGCTTTCTAAATTCTGCTTTAAAAGTGCCCAAGTGAACGCATTTTTCTCCTGACAGGTACAGTTGGTTTTTATTTTTACCTTTGATGAATGGGAAGTTAACCTCAAAAGTCGTCTTTGTCTTCTGATCAACCTGCTATCTCTGTTTGTGATCCTGTTTCTCATTAATACTAATTGACCAATGACTTCTTTTTATGTCCAAAACAAAACAAAACAACAACAAAAAACAAACAAAAAAGTGCAAAGAAAAACAAAAACAAAAAAAAATCTGTACAAAACTCCCATTAATTCCCAGGGTCTGCTGGAGGAGAACAGTGTGGAGATTTCGGTGATCAATCCTAAAGCCATTACGATGGGCCAGCTGTACGGCAGGTTTGACCCTGTCTCCCATGAGTGGTCAGACGGTGTGCTGGCCGTGTGCTATCGCAACTTCGCCATCTCCAACGTAAGTCCTAGGGGGAAAAAACCGCTAGAAAGGAGTTTGGCGTGGTTTATCGTTGATGCTCTTTTTTGCTTCTGAATTTGAGGCCCAGAATATGACCTCGAAGCGGAAAGTCTGTGCTCGAGCTTCGGTTCGGACATGGAATGTTTTCGCCCCCTCCTGTCCACCCAGCAGTAATGGATACCTGACTTCGAGTTGGGGAAGTAAAGGCGGCGTGGAAAGGCCCAGGATGTTGTCTCACCAACAAGGCAATCATCAATGTCCGGCGCGGATGCGGGAACAACTTTACTTTTAATAAGATCTCGGCTGGCGTGTGCCATTTCTGTATTTGCCTACATGATTATTTGTTGAAAAGATGCTGTTTAAAAAGTTCTTTATGATATATCATTATATTCCTTTAGTAAGAGGGCCATAGAGACAGAAAAAATCGTTACCAGTTTCTTAGAATATAAATGTTCTTTCATACCATTTAGATTACGTAAATGGTTCCTGTTATCAAAGACGGTGAGCTGCAAGATGGTAAACTCCAAAGAAAAGTATCCTCTTAAACTGGCACCCATTTTAATAGAAGTTACCACAGATTCTGATCACAATTCTTAGTGAGGGTTTTCCCAAAAAGACAGGGATTGTTTTTTGTGTGGGGGGGGGGTGGCAATATGCTTGGCTCCTGTTCTTTGTATACACAATACGTCATTCCCTAAAAGTAATAGAATTAAGCTGGCTATTGTACAGATATCGCAAGCTGGATTTTTCAGGACGTTTTTTAATAACTCCAATCGAGAACTGAACCATATTTTTTCTGTGAAAGTGTGGTGCAAGTAAACTTTAAATCTCTATTCAGAGCTTACTTGACCTGGTACGCGCACACCAGTGGCTCCACTTTTTCTAGGGATACCGTGACGCCACGTTCGAAAGAAACGTACTTTAAGAACGGGGGATTTACTAATTTGCTTGACCCATACATTTTAAATCTATACTGATGTTCCCCATGGATTCTCTGGACAGAATCATCACCGCAAATGGCTCATCTTTGACGGGCCGGTGGACGCCGTGTGGATCGAGAACATGAACACAGTTCTGGACGACAACAAGAAACTCTGCCTCATGTCAGGGGAGATCATTCAGCTCATGCCCACCACTAACCTCATGTTCGAGCCCATGGACCTGGAGGCAGCCTCGCCCGCCACGGTACTTGATAGCCCAGGAGTGCCTCTTGTCATGATTCTGGATTTGTCTGTCTGTCTGTCTGTCTGTCTGTCTGTCTGTCTGTCTGTCTGTCTGTCTGTCTGTCTGCCTCTCTGAGAGCTGGCGTGTTAGCGGGAGGGGGGGGGGGTATTACTCTCTTTTCTGTCCCGCTTTTATTTTGGTCTTTCCGTCTTACCTTGCTCTCTCTCTCTCTCTCTCTCTCTCTCTCTCTCTCTCTCTCTCTCTCTCTCTCTCTCTCTCGCTCTCTCACTCACTCTCTCTCTCCCTCTCTGTGTGTCTCTCTCCCTCTCTTTGTGTGTCTCTCTCTGACTCTCTCTCCCTTTCTCTGTGTGTGTGTGTGCGCGCGCGCGTGTGTGTGTGTGTGTGTGTGAGTGTGTGTGTGTGTGTGTGTGTGTCTTTCAATGTGGGTATGTGGTGGGCGTTTTCACGTGGTCTGCCTTTTTTTCATTTCTTCTGACAAACTGACTACACACTGACGACATCAACAGAACAACAACAGCAACGACAAGCGACTCTCTCTCTCTCTCTCTCTCTCTCTCTCTCTCTCTCTCTCTCTCTCTCTCTCCCTCTCTCTCTCTCCCTCTCTCTCTCTCTCTCACCCTGCCCGTCGGAGCCAAACCGGGTTGATAGGAACACAACTTCACGGCAATAGATTGAGATATTAGATTTTTAAAAATTCTTCCTACACGGGAATCAAATTTGGGTTGTCTGCGTGCGAAGCCCTTACCCACTACACGACAGAACATCGTTAAATATCCTTCAAAATGACATACTAACCTGGATATTTTTGTAAATTACAAAATAAAGCAAAAAGGAAACAAACTAAACTAAACTAACACAATAAAAAGAAAACATACCCAACACGTGAATCAAACGTGTCAAAAGAATAGTTTGATATCCACCCCATTTCGAATTGCTTGATCTATTGCACAGCATCTTGGATCACCAAATGGGGTCACCGTGTGGTTGTGGATAAGTATTACATGAAATAATAACCACAACACAACATAACAACATGTGTTGAGACAGGTCTCCCGCTGCGGCATGATCTACATGGAGCCTTCCACCCTAGGCTGGAGACCGTTGGTCAAGTCCTGGCTCCACGCCAAACCGGCGGTTTTCCTGGAGAGGATGCGCAAGTTGGTCTCAGATCTTTTCGAAAGATTTGTGGACGCAGGTCTGGCTCTGCTGCGGCGGGGAGGGATTAAGGTGAGTAGCTGACCACCAGGTGTGTGGCTTATAGGCCTTGGGTGTATACTCCTCCGTCAAAACGTCATCAGAATTTAGGAGGCGGAGTTCGACTCTGCTTGATGGGACCAGTATGCGTGAGACGTGTGATCGGGGCGGGGGGGGGGGGGGGGCAGATAATACAATATCCTAGCAGAAAGAAAAAGATATACTAGATAAAAATGTTCCCCACATGAGAATAGAGTTTAGGTTTTCTGAATGCTACGGTAAATCGCGTTATTACTACCATCACTACACCAATTACGTAGGTCAGATGCTAACAAAAACTGCAGAGAGAGAGAGAGAGAGCGCTTTGCGCTGTAAAAAGACAACGCGAGCAATATTCCTACCAGTGTCTCTTGGTACGTGGAATACACGGGGCACTGTACACGGTGCTGTGATATAAATACTGGCGAATGATAAGAAAGGTACCACTTTCGGATTGCGAAGAAAATCTAGTTTTCTGAGTCGTTACGCTTTCTCTTTCACGGGAGACCTACCGTCACGCTCAGAAGATAAATGCCCTAGTCATATTTTTATCTATTTTGAGAAAATGAAGAAAACTGTACTTTCCAACAACTGACTCTGTGAAACAACTGGATTTTGGTACACTCAGTTGATTTTATATTTGTCCATTCTCACCAAGGTGGCTCTGCCTCTCATGCCAGAACCAAAAACTGTGAACCGGCCAAAAATGACTACGGCAATTATCTTATGAGCGTGGCGATACTTTATCCCGTCGATCTAACTCTTAAACGGCCAACGTCATGGTCTTGTTGTTCACTTTGCTCAAACAAAATATGTTTTCTGCGATGTAGGAGCTGTCCCCAACTACTGACCATAACCTGGTATTCTCCCTAATGAATCTCATGGACGCGAACATGGAAGAGTTTCACAACGACGCCAAAATCACACAGCTGGATGACCGAGAGATTGTCATGTGGCTACAAGTAAGTGCTTGCGAAGGGGGGGGGGTGCAAAGATATTCTGCTTCACATGTGCTACGAGAATTAGGACAAATGAGTAATAGCTAAGTGTTGAAGAGCAGGTATGTATTTTAAATTTAAAAACTCAACCAAAATGAAATCTACTTCTGAAACAGGCGACCCCCACTCAGACACCCGCTCTCGAATTATCAAACATAATATCGTTGTAATGTTACTGTTCTCGAATGTAGTTCAACTACCTGGAACGATTCACCGAATAAGTGCCACGAAAAGAAATTTCACGTACGTGAGAAGCTTTCGGGTGTCTGTTCATAAGTATGTGTGTTTAGAAATAAACTTTTCTTTCACCGATGGTGCTTGCATTCAGATGGCCACCGGCACAGGGGACTGATGGTATAATGGGAATATACCTCCTGTGGTGGAATAAACATTGTCTCATAATAACAAAGTGTTTTACGAGTAATTGGTTTCTTGTTAGGTCTTCTCGTTTTATGGAAAAATGGAACCAAAACAATGATAGACTCCTGTCTGGCTTCTGACTTTCGCATCCTCCATCTGGACCTCATCTCCTTGCGTTAATTGTGAGCGTGGTGAAATGAGGCGTTCGTCCAAATAACGAAATCGCAGAAACAGGCATTTTTTCCACCAGTTTGGAAGTTCTGATCGAATTTTTATTTTTCGGCTGAACCTCTTTCACGTCCATATAAAAATACATTTTCTTGTGAACTTTACTGAAAAACGTTGATTAAAGGCACAAAATATGTCCCTTTTTTTTCAAAGATTCTTTAGCTACTAGAGTTGCCCAACTTTGGCGGCCATTTTCTCACTAATTTCACCACTGAAACCAGGCAACCTCACTTCCTTGAGTTCTATTCAAGATAAACGGATTGATTTCTTTTGAAGCAAAGCAAATAAATCAGTTTTCACTTGATACCAATAACT